ACAGATCACACTTGTAAATCTGGATCGAAGGGGGAGGGGGGGGGGGTTAGCATATATATATATATATAAGGCCCCAAAATGCCATAGAAGGAATTATGGCTCCCAATTTCCTAATGGTTGTATAGATGGACCCTCTGGGAATATCTATCATTAAGGGTAGTAAGAATAATGACAATAATGGTATAATGGTCGTAATAGTACCAGTAGGAGAAGTAATGATAATAGCAACAACAATGGTAAAATGGTAGTAATGGTAGCAGGAGTGGTAATAGTAATACAAAACCTTCTGCCGTGTTGCTTGCATCAGTCCAGGAGGAAAATTAATGCAGGCAGCGCCTTTGGAAAGCTGCTTTCTCGATAGCGTCCGGAGCGGAGGGCCTTCCAACTTGTAGGGTTTAGGATTTAGAATCTATAGTCTAAACTCCTAGTATCCCCCTAATGAACGCATTGGGATAATGGAAAAGAAAATGGAAACTACTGTTCAGGGTTCAGGGTTTCTCAAAATAGGAGGCCCTGCACCATTTTCGAGGTCCGGGGTCTATATTGGGGTACCCCAATTTCAGGATAACACCAAATGATGACACTAAGACTACGTCTGCTCAACACGTCTTATAAAGGCTTTGCCTTGTGGCCGCATTCCACGTCGTAGTGCCCTGGCCCGGGTGCTTCGGTCAGCGATATGAGGCCTCCAGGCAAGACTGGCAAGCTTCTGGCACTATGCACGTGCTGCGGATGATGTCCAATGTCCAAAGCCATTGTTGTAAGCCAGGGCACTGCATCTATGATCAACTACCAGTACACTATTATCTTGCAAGTATGGCGGCACCTTGCTTTCTTGAGCTTGGCAGCGTCCACCTAGCATGCAGAGAGGAATCTCACGTGCAATACTGTTGAATGCTGCAAGCCGTGGTCATCAGGAACACACAGCTGAGTCTCGCGCTTGGGGGCACGGGCGCAAGAAGCAGAAGCAACTAATGGGCCTGGCAGGAAGCCGACCTTGTGAAATCGAGTGCAAAGCAGCCATGACTGGAGCCAGACTGCTGAAAAATCAAGCAACTATCTGCAGCAGCATTTTTCGCATCTTTGAAAGTGCCTTCGCCGGCTCCTTTCCTTTGGGTCCTCAATCCTGGGGCGGAGCACCCACTTGCTCCGCAGCAAGTTTCAAGGAGCGCCAAAGAACTTCCAAACAGTGCGATGCAAAGCTTGCCACGCCTGCCGGTCGAGCTGATTGTGTCATGGAACGGCTGTTGCCTTGAAAGCGAAGGCACATCATTAAACAGCATGAAAGAACACAAGTGCAAGTCTCATCCGCGACCCCGTCCCGACCAAATTGCAAGAAAAGGCCCTGGCCATGTTGCCGCGCGGCAGACAACGAGTGGATCTAAGTTGGAATACTATCCATGGTGTTGCTTGATATTAGCTTATTTTGTTCGCAAGTCCAGCAACCTCCTCGAAGCGTTGAATCAGTGAGCGGCATACAGGTGCTGCTTTGGCCCTGCCGGCTAGCCACACCGTTCATGACGTCACTTCAGGTGTTGATGTTGGCTGCTGACGCTTGAGTCATGGTTTTGGTGCACAATTTCTTGAAGCGGAGTTCCCTGAGCTTGTGGTCCTTTCTCATTAGCCTGAGCCGCAGTGGCCCTGCAAGGCGCAGCATCGTTTGCTGTATGTCTGAAAAACATGGACAGGATCACCAGAGGAACCCAGCTGACTATGCGAACAAACTGACCCCTCCAGCTTGCTTTTGATCAGTTGGAGATGTGGGGGGATGGGGTAACGCTGGGCTCCGTGCCATTGCTGGCAGTAAGCTCCAGATCCCTCGTCGCTCGTGCGATTTGTTAAAGCCACGATGGTTGCCACAATCTCCAGAATGCAACCTCACCCTACTGCAGTCGCTTGCGTCTTGCGATGATCGTCGAAACCTGCAAATTCAACATGAACCTGCTTCGACAAGCATTCTCTCCAATACCTCCTGACAAAGCACGATGTCTAAGTATTGCCTGATATTGCACGGTGCCTACAAAAATCCCTCTCTCCCTAGCATCTAATCAGCCCATTCAGCCCAATGACTTCATGACTCCTGGCCGTCTGCAAGAAAACTCCATGGTTTTCCTGCCAAGCTCATGCTGGTTGTCAGCCTGTCCAATCTCGAAACCCGACATGCCAGGCAAAGAACTTCATCATGGAGGGAATCTAGATTGCCTTACCCATGGGGATACATGATATGCTGGGTTGCTCTGGCTTGTCGCATGAGCTCCGAGGATTGAAACGTCAGCTTTCTGATGCCCTGGCGCCTCCCTAAGGGTGGCCAGACTAAACCACAAAGTGCCTGCAATCCTGAACTTTGCATTACTTTCTATTGTTGGCACTAGAAGTGGTCGTCGCGGTCATTGCTGCAGCAGTAATCCAAGAAGTATGAGGAGGTTTCAAAGAACAGGGGTCCCCCATCAATGCCTATTACACCCAAATATCATTTGATCCATATACAAAGGACACCTGCTCTTGTCAAACCGCTGTAATTGCACCAATGCCCAGCTGAAAAAGCAAAGGAGCTGCACAGAGCGCACACTTGGCGGCTGGAGACTCACATTGCAGCGAAAGAGTTGACGTTGGGCGGAAAGAGCGTTTCTCCGTACAATTGGTCCCTTCTTGCGGGGATCCCCGCCATGTATTGCGACTAAGCAAGGAAAAGGCGCACATAGGCAGACCCGTATCTTGCTCGGGTCCGTCTCACACCCTCCCCTGACCCCACGAGGTCATTAAAACTCCAGAGCAGCTGCCAGTATTTGACACAGGTTGCTCTTCTAGATCACAGGCGACGGCATCGCAATGCCCCACCCTTGTTATGTAAACGTTGAGGAGTGCCCAACATGCCCAGGTACATGACCCCATAGAAGAACCTCAATAGCATCTCTCTTTCTGCTAAGTCTTCAGTGCTAAAGAGCCTGTCAGCCCGTCAGCCCTGAACTCGGCAAAGCGGCTTCACGAGACCCCCTTGCCCTCGCCTTGCGACTCTCGCCGGACCTCTAAAGCAAGGCAGAGTATGAAGGAGCTTTCTTACTCAGGCTTACTTGAGAATCGGGGAATGGGTTGCAAGAAATATTACAGGCCATGGGAGAGATCCCTTCCCCCATTCGTAACTAAGCATGAGTAGGCTCTGCCACGACACACCAGGCCTCGTTCACAAAGATCTGCATACAGTGGGCAAACACTTGTGCCTCGAAGCTAGGGTACACCAGTGGTGTAGCTAATAAGAATAACAATAGAATACGAATACTATTGATAATACGATTAAAAGAATACGAATATTTTTGTATTTCTTTTCAGGTGGTGGTCCAGTTCTCTCAGATAAGACAGGTGAACAGAAGCTGTCGTGGAATTGGTTCGTAAGGACTCTTAAAAGTCAACGAGCAAGAGCGTCTGTTGCAAGAGGTGAGCACGGAGTTGCGGCCCAGGGGCGTTGCAAGTAAGTATGGGAGGGTTGACGCTGGATGCAAGTCAAAGGGCAAGCGGCATGGATATGCATGGATCACAACGATCATAATGCTTGCATGACTGTCCGGCCTCTGCAGTTTGTGCCTCGGGACCGCCCCGATCGACGGGGAACCGCAGTGAAAGACACCTTGGCAAGAACTCACTTCTCTGCCAGTCAGACGTGTCTCAGTTAGGTTTGTCACCTGTTCCGGAGTGCAATCTGACCTGCACTGCATTATGCAGTCCCGATTCGTGATCGTGCTTGCTTCATCTTGCGCCCTTTTACAACACCTGGTTTTAACCGGGTTCGAGATGGATACCTTCATGAACCTCTTCTCACACTGCAGCCTAGCCTTAGACGCCATAACATGCCATATCTTGTGTTGTGCACATCAGTAGCAGCAGCCCAAGTCTGCACGATCCTGTTTGTCAAAACCAAACCAGAAGGCTGGCTGCCACCCCTCCTGTCCCGTTCCTTCCCGTCACAAAGAGCAGCGCCTACCATCCGTCAGATCGACAACGGCACAGGAGGCATCTAGACCTGCGATGGCTAACACCAAGCCTGCACCAGAGATCGGTCGATGTGAGAATGGCTGCGCGCCTGGCATCGTCGCGGCGAGCTCTTTGGCTCTTGGGCTGCACCCGGTGTACACAGCAGACACCTCCAGCCGGACCATGCAGAGGCGTGTGCGAAACAGTAATTCCACAAGAGGCTGCATGTGCTGCCTGGCTGCAAGCATCGGCAACTCTGTACCTCTTTCTCGCAGGGCCGATATGCACACCGTGTCCCTGGTCTGAAAAGCCAGCATCACGTTGAGCGCACTGTAATTAGGTGCAAAATGGTGCAGAACCAGGTGCCCGAGTAGAAAACCCTTGGGCCCCCAGCAGGAAGCGAATAAGACTCAGAAACCTGTCAAAGATACAACTTGGAGGGTTTTTGGCCGGATACCGGTTTGGAGCTCCAGGCATGGAAGCCGTTGCCCCATTGCCGCAAGACCAGTGAGCAGTTGCTAATCAAACTCAACGACCCCAGCGCACAAATTGTGTTTCTCTTACGCTTGCAAGCAATGCATTATCCTTCAATTGCAGGTCCAGAATGATACGTTGTTTGCATCTCCCCTTCTTGCAACCGGGGGCCGAACCATGTCCTGGAGCATCCTTTCAAAGAGAAGTTATGTAAACTTTGAAGGGCTCTTTAAACCCTTCGTTTTGCAGGGCTTGCACAAGAAAGCAGCTTGAACACACGGCAATTTACCTGTTCAAGCTCAAGGCCATTCCATCTGAGCCCACAAGACTGTACAAGGTACTCCACAGGAGCTTTACATAAACAAGTGCCAGGCACAAGTGTCATCTAGTCCGCTGGCGCGACTGCGCCAGTACCGGCAGCGGCCGCGTTCTCGTTCGTGGCGCGAACGCAGTTCAGTTAAACAATTTCGGAGAACATTATCATTAATTGGCTTGTGAGCATCCTGCGCTCAACTCAAGCTGAGCTCCACTGAAGTGCTTTGTTGCCCATCCTGCCAAGCTGTCCTGAGTGAGGTTCGCAAGCCTTAACACGTGGCTTGACTACAGCTGCATGCCCAGGCGTAGCATTCGCATGTTACAGTACAGAGCTCAGAAGTAGACTACACCTGCACCTGTTGGCAGCTCTGCTTTGTTAACTCATGCATGCAGCAGAGGGGCCGCGAAGCATCCTCATGCAAGCAAGCTTGGCCATCCAATGTAAACGATGGCTCCCAAGAATCGCACCTGCAACCATCAGTTCAAAAAGCAATGCGTGCTGTCCCAGTTTCAGGAATGCCGGTGATCCCTTGCCATGTCTTGCCGTCTAATTCCAGCCGGCTGGGGCTGAGGGGTTCAGACTGACACACAACTTACAAGCGGGATCCATCTGCAAGGTTCTTTGTGCACCTCGTATCAATAAGTTCTGGCTTCCGCGCGGTGGGAAGCAGCCCAAGAGCTTCCATGCCAAGCGCTGGTTTTGATGGGGACCTGATCAGAAGCACCCGGCAAAAGCTCCAGGCGCAGGCCCGTGATACCGTTTATGCTTTCCCTGACCCTGCCTTGTCACTTGCGGCGGTGCCTCCGCCATGCACCTTGCAGAAAGAAACGCGCGCTAGCTCGACCCACTCAACTTGCTGATGTCGCAAACCCCGTCCGAACTTCCAAGCACAGAATCAAGTGTTTGGCCAGGCCACTCCTGCATGATGTGCATCGCCTTCCTCGGAAGTGCAATGTGCCAGACATCTCCCCTGGTTTAGCTGCTGACTCCACATGTCTGATGGCTCTGATGCCAAGAATCTGGAAGGAGGCATCCAACTCGTGCCGGATCTGTGATACCAGCAGTTCTGAGCCTATCAATCAGATCGAAGACTATCAGATTGCATAGCTCTGAAACATGAATAGCATGGCTGTCTTCTTGCTGGCCAACATGCTCTTCAAGTGAACTGCTAATACAACAGCGCATGAAATCACTCGAGTTCAGTAAGCGTGGCATTCTCATCATTACTATAACTGTTCCATTTTATGCCAGCTATGCCAGCACATGGATGCGCTCAGACAGTTCAGACATTGCTTTTTTCATATTCCCTGAATTCGGTCCGGCTGAAGCATGCCACTGCACAACCCGGCCTTGTGATTTGGCTACGTAGTCAGGGTCAACAAGCCACAAGTCCGGAGCCGGAGCACTGTGCGTACCTCCGTGGTTGGCGCGAAAGCTTCAGGATCAGCATGGTGATCACCATGGAAACAACAGCCACGCAAGCTTCAAAAAAATGCTTTGGAATTCCACATTGCTTGTGATGAGGAGAGCTTAAGAGTTGCAATTGCACAAGAACAAAACTGCAGCTTGAGAGGCTTTTCAGAGAGAACGAGTGCAACTGAACAGACACATAAGTTCAGATCAGGAGAGACGGCAAATGTGGACACTGGGGGAGGGAGAGAGAGAGAGAGGGGCAGGGAGGGAGGGAGAGAGACAGAGAGAGAGAGAAAGAAAAAAACAGATGCGTCGAGCAAGTCTTGCACACCTGCACTTTGCTCTCATAGTAGTGCCGCAGCGCAAGGGGCAGCAAGGTTCACGAAGGCTAGGCCAAAGCTAGGCCGATTGAAGTGCAAAATCCATCCTGTAGAGTGTAGAAGATTGGAAAATCTAGAGCTCTGCGACTAGAAGCATGCTTGCTACTTGTAGGGAGCAGCGCAGAAAGGATAACTGGCCAAGCAGAGAAGCTGCAAGATGTTGAGTTGAGAAAGCTCAGGCACGCGTGGAAATACAGCAAAGCAATCCTCTTGCCTCGTTGATCCTCTGGTGCGAAGCTCGCCTTTGGTGTCTCCGATCCTCAGAAGCATTTCCACACACGCCAGAGCCGTAGGGCTGGAATTTTCTTGAAGCCGTGAAGCAATTGATCCACAGAAGGTCCAAGTGCGGAGTCAACTAGCATCAACGAGCACTGCCCATGGCATCTCAGTGCCTCTCAGCACTCAAATAACCCCTATATAATCCCAGTTTCCATTTCATTTTCCATTTTCTTTTCCATTTGATTCTCCATTATTGGGGGTAAGGGGTATCCCTTTGTTGAAGCCCCATGTGTTCAAGGCCAGGCAGCGCTGCCCCCGAGTTTTGCGGGCAAAGCGCCTTGACCACGTGACATCGCCTGGGATTGGAGCTCTGAGGTTAAGGCTACCCGTAACATGGAATGCTGAAGGTTGCTTTCGAGCGCACTCTTACCTGTTTCCAAGCGTGCAGACTGACCATGTCCAGGCATCACAAGGCTGGAAGACACTGGGTGGCTATCCGAGTCAGCCAAGGTTCTCGTTTCATCTCTGAAGTCCAGTTCATTACCTTGCAAGACGATTCTTTTGCTCCCGACTGGAATTCACGGCCTATGCCTATGCTCCAGCAGCCGACGGAAATTCAACATGAACCCAATATCGTGTCCTGCAGATCTGATCACTCCTTAACCCGCTTTCGAAATAATTCAGCTTGCATGCTCTCCTCCCTGCACAACTGCTCTCATTATCTGCCCAGCCTCGAAATGTCGCGTGGGACTTCATCCCCTGTGAGTTGGAGGTCGGGCCGATCGACCTGCTCTGCAGAGCAGCTTTGGAGGCTTCTCATCCAGCGGTCGAAGCGAGAGATCCCACTAAAGGGAGCAACTCAGAAGGATCATAACGTAGTTTCACTGGGAGAGCTGAAATCCATTTAATAAGAATTTGCTGTCCTGTCCAAACCAGACGCAACCAACCTATAATCCCTATAGAACCCATTATGGCAGTTTCCATTTTGTTTTCCGTTATCCCAATCATAACCCCCCATATAACCCCTGTATACTATGGTAGCCTCCATTTTCTTTTTCATCATCCCAATTATAACCCCCAATAACCCTAAACCCTAAACATACCCACAATTTCTCCAAGCTGCTGGGAGAAAGTAAACTGTGCTCCGACCTGGCAACAAGCGGAAGAGAGGGGCCATGGCTAGGGATGATATAGGGCTTATAGGATTTTATGTGGCTTTACAGGGTTTATAGGTCTTTATAGGGTTTATCAGGTTTTATAGGGTTATATAGGGATAATGGAAAAGAAAACGGAAAATGCTATGATGGGGTTAGGTAGGGTTCCCCCCCTTCCAGGTATACTGTTCACACACCTAGTGCCATGCTAAGAGGCTGCTTCAACAATAATCGCATTCTGGTAGAGGGGCTAACAAGGCGAACATCGGCATGTGAGCCATAGTCTAAACTCCTGGTATCCTTCATGACCCCTATAATAGTCTGCTATAATAGTCCCCTATATAATCCTCTATTTAACCCCCTTTAAGGAGTTTAGACTATAGCTCATGTGGGAGGTAAGTCCAACTCCCAAACCCTAGGCCCTAAATCAACTGCAACAGGCAAGGAAACTCCCGCAATTGAGATGCTTGGTGCCAGGCTGGGCTGTCGCAGGCTGCCATGGTCTCGGCAGGGTCCAAAACCAGGGTTTGAGGTTTCAGATTTTGGGGCTTTGGGTTTAGGGTGTTTTTTCGGGTTTAGGGTTTAGGGTTTAGGGCTTAGGGTTTAGGGCTTGGGGGATTCAGGGATGTGAGATTGGCCCATGAGTATGCCCTGCCTGCTGTAGGAGGATCTGCAGACCTCGCTGGAGCCTCAGCGATCTCTGACACAAGCGAAGAGGGAATTCGCAGCATTCAATGTTCTGTTTACGGCCAAGAACTTGACAACCTGCCTTTATTTGACCTCTCCGGAAAAGACAGCTGTAGAGTAGTCAACTGCAAAAACAATAGACAAAGCAGCAGACTCAGAGCAATCCGTCGTACAAAGCACTTCAAAATATTGCGGAAATCCACGGAAATCCATGGAAATCCTCTGTATAATTGCATGGCCAGCATTTTCCACTTTTCGAAGGCTACGCAAAGAGCAAAGAAGATCGCTGAATTACCCTTCATGGCCCGCAATCTTTGCCCAGAAGGAACCGGTGGATCAGCCCTGGAAGCCGACGTTCTGGCCACTTCTGACTTCTTGCACTCCCCACGAAACCTCACAAAGCCATATTTAGCCCCAAACATTCCCAATAAGATGAAACAAGACCTGATAAAGCTTGATGAAATCCTACAGCAATCATGCAAGATGCCTCAATCCAAGAGCTGAGTTGCTCCCAGATTTTCGCATTG